ATGGTCATGCCTTTTTTCTTAAGCTCTTCCTTCCAGACAGGTAAGATGGATTGAAGCTATGCCTCTGATTTAGCTATCAGAGCCCCATCATCTGCAAATACCAGCTCCGATATGCAGGCTGGTCTCATATTCCAGAAACTTACTGAGTAATTCTTGGTATTCTTACAGGTCTTGATGGCATCATCCATCAGAAGAATAAAGAAGTAGGGTGAATGGTTATCTCCCTGTCTAACACCGCTAGTGGTCTTAAACTCTTCTGATTTTTGGTTTCCTGTTCTTACAGGATTTCTGCAACTTTTGTTAAATCTCTGTATTGCACTGAACAGCGTGCTGGAATGTTCTTACCTGCCAAGCAGTCACAGAGATTGCTCCAGGGAGCTTTATCAATGCCTTATCTAGATCCAGGAAACGTAAGTGCATCTCGCTCTTATATTCTAGAACTTTTTCACTCATCTGTATCAATGTCAAGGTCTTGGATGCTTTAGTTTGCTCTGAAACCCAATTGGGACTGATTCAGCTGTGGTTCCACCAGGTTTCTAAGTCTCTGCTCGAGAATTCTTGAGTAACTCTTTCCAGGAACGCTGAGGAGAGATACGCCTCTGTGGTTTCACAGTGTCTATTATCCTTTTTTTTTTTAAATTACAGGTGTAATGATGGCCTTATCCAAATCTTTCAATATGGTCTTACGACACCAGGCTGCTGCCTGGAAAACCTTTAGGCGAAGTCGCTTCCCTGCGACTCTAATATATTTTACCATCTCTGGTGTTATATCCTCAAGTCCAGCTGCTTTTTTTTTCCCACGCCTAATCTCCTCAATAGCTGCCTTCAGTTACTCCATCCTTATGTTCTAACACTATACCCTGTTCACTCTCACTTCAAAATATAACATCAGTCAAATGCTCAGATGACAGTGTTGGGCTAGTACAGACCCAATAGGGAGTGATAGTAATCGATTCTGCCGAATACTTCTGCACTAGTAGCAGCGTTAGACTGCCTCTCCAGCCAAGATAGTGCAAACAATCATTCCTTTTCCATTGTAGTGTTCGTAAGGTCACCCAGGCATACAACGATAACATAAATACATATGTAGGAAGAGAGTTAAAGCATTAGAAAAACGACAAAAATTATCCTCTGCTGACATCAGCCATTCTGTGTTTACAGTTCCCCGGGCGGAAGTTACGTCATTGTCGGTAACTTTAAACGCCAGGCCACAACTAGCCTTGAACTGCGATCTGGGTCAGCTCGGACGTTCAGTTTCTCCTATATTTAATTGTATGCATATGCATAGGACATGATTAGCTAATATTTAGTCCAGTCTGTCTGGACCATCCATTGTGGGAATATGAGACAAACAACCCCCATTGGCCTGTAGATGAACGCTCTGGATTCGTGCGTTCATGTAGTTTTAATCGTCTCGCGGCTATGTGCAGTTGCTTCAACAGTTAACCCGTCTTACACTCAGCAGCAGGGCAGAGTACTGCAATTATATTAATCTATGAAGTACTTACCCATGCTCAGTGGAAGTTCCCGGATGAACAGGAGATTTTCAACGGTGGTGCTGATAGAGTTTCAAGACAAGGTCGAAACCCATCTGTATGCTCTGGAGATTGAGCCAAGAATGAGGGTTTGAATTTGCGACTTGCCCAAGCAGAAACGGGATAATTTCTTCCGCAAAGAGGCGGTAGTTCGACCGATCGAAAAAGGCCTCGCTACTCTTAGAAGTCACTTACCTGTGAGTAAATTAATAACATAACTCACTCCCAATAAATTTGGGAACGAGTTAAGTACTTATCCCGACATCTTGACATATAAGTACAAAAAAAGGACTATTTACTTATGGCGGACAGTCCAAGATTTGAAAACAGCTCATTTACATAGAGGTGTAGAAGACGTGGGCAGGTCTAAGACCAGAGAGGTGTTCTGCTGTCACGCGACACCATCAACAAGGGTGTCATATTCCCTTCTTTCCAGCTCTGACCTCACCGCATGCTTCTCATGCAGTTGCCTTAAAAATGTTCTTGAACGTGCACCAGAGGGTTTCAGTGTCCTCTGTTTCTTCTTCTGCTCCTATTGCTTTCGCTATAAGCTCTTGATATCTGGCTGTCTTAGCTTGTAGGTCTTAATCCGTATCCCTTGTCTGTGGTTTATTGCCTGACTGTCGGTGGTGCCTTGTTGGAGCAGTTCTTTCAATTGTTCTTCAGACTGTGACAAGGTAATGGTCACTTCCAATCTCTGATCCTCTTATGACTCTGGCGCCTCTTACAAACTTGAACGACCTTTTCCTCACTATGGCATGGTCAGTGATAGATTTCTCATTCTTTGAAGGTTCATATCTTGTGTCTGCATGTATGCGCTTGTGGGTAAGCTTTGTGTTTGTAATGACAAAGTCCTGTTCTGTGCAGAATCTGAAGAGTCTCTTGTCATTGCCATTCATAACATCTTCACCGTATCTTCGGATCACTTCGCCCCATTTAGAGTGATCATTCCCAACTCACATTTAGATCTCCAAAGAGGATAATTTCATCATGGTAATCTACGGTCCTTTGAAGCAGTTCGAAGAATTCTTTTTTTTTGACATCTACTCGTTCATCTTTATTTAATCCATACGCAATGACAGTATTGACATGTGTATCTTTCTCCTTCAGATCTAGCACAGTAATTTACTCCGAGATGAATTTCCATCCCTTGATGTTACTAACTATGTGAAGAATGGTCTAGGAGGCACTCCCTTCCCCTAATAGTTCTTATGTAACCCCGGCGCAGGGGCGCCGACAGAAGCAACAATTTTATAAAGAGCTTAGCCCCATGACAAATTTTCTAGGGGTCAGAGGTGGTTGGCTCAATGGTTCAAAGTCTTAAAGTGAGCAAAAAGTATTTTTATTTTTATTATCACTTTTATGTATCCAGTGAAAAGTACCCCCTGATCCAAAGCTTTAACTCTGCGTGTAGATCCGTTTAATAGGTGTATGCAGGCGTATATGTTTGCTAGAGATAACTTTCTAGGGTGATAATGGCAACAATGTAATTTTAAAAACATATGCATGGGACATGACATAACATAAATATTCAAAGGGATATAGCTTTGGCGAGATTGTACTTTTACTGATTGTTGCAGTAATTAAAAGAAATGCACATAAACCAGACCACCAATGTGAAATTTAAATTAAACATTGTAGCTTAGGGATGAATTAACAGTTGAATTAAAATATACAAATGAAGGTGTTTGTGCTTTATGGTATAGACTGACGCTCGTGCATGATGTGATCAACGTCACGCCGCATACTGTCTACTTTTGCGATTTCATATTGTAAATATCGCGCGAGGGGTATGAAGTGCGATGAAGTTTATCCTTTCGACATTAATATCCTTTGGACAGCTTTGGTTGTTGTTTCACTTCTGGGCTTTGTTCTTGTTCCAGAACAAGTTAGGCGTGCAAATTCATTTTTAGAGATCTTGACTTATTTGTATGCAGCGTGTCGCCTATCAAGCAGAAGCACTCCAATTTCGAAGGATATACTACTTAATTAGTCGACTGTTACCTCATTCCTGTGAGGGGAAGAGCGGCAGTGGGCCTTATCCCCCCCCCCCCCACTGGGGACCCCCCAGGGGGAGTTGTTGGTGTCTATCGGGGGGTGTGGTTATGAAAAAGTTATTATGTTGAGAATGGCATTATTTTAGTATTGACTAAATATCTTCAACATTCACATCTGTGCTCTGTGTGGATTTGTATTCTAGTTTTAAAATGTTTTAGGAAATAATTGACCTATCCCCGCATGCATGTACAATGGTCTATCCGAAACAAGTCTTAAGCTGGAACAGTTTGCCTTGTAAACTAGTGTAGAAATGCAGTAAGCCAACTCATTTTCAGGGATAGCAAAACAAGTTTATGGAGGACAGTACAGATTATTTTACAATTACTGCAAAAATAATTTCTTTCTTGGCTCCTGCTTATTTATTTATATAATCCTAACAAACATTAATAACAAATGTACGTGTATACAACATTTAACAGGTCGAGCCATGTACTTGAACTAAAATAATGGCGGACAAATCGACAACCTCCGCCCTTAGAACAAAGCAATCTCTTGTTGGTGTTCTGTAGTAATTCAAGCACAATTACAAGACAGAAATTTTATACAGTTAGATTGCATATCGAATAATAATAAAATACATTTAACATTTGCATCTGATTTGTGTAGTTTGAACACGAATACGTGTTGTTTGAACATTAAGTAAGATCGAAGTAGGTCTGACAGTAAGGCGGGCTGGAGACAAAATATTGTACAACAAACCTAAACATTTCAGGTTATACAGCTGAAAATAATAATTCACTGAGCTACACATCAGAATAACTGTATATACAATACATATTACATCTTCAAATCGTGTTTTCCTATTACATTCGCTGTATTTTTGCTATTAAATGACCCAAAGTGCCGCCGATGTCAGGGTAAAAGTGTGCGACTGCTACATAGAAAAACTAAGTTTTTTGTGTCATACCCTCTAATGACACATTGCAACACATCATAAACACAAATATTATCAAGTTATATATTTTTTAAAGTGATAAATAGCGAACAGTACGACTTAATATACTTTTAATAACAATCTCAAATACATCATATATTCATTCATGCAAAGCAATGTACATGCATACGTTCAATTTTTTTAAAGTGTGCAAAGAAATTCGAAAGAGCATTGTTAGAAAATAAAAATTTATCATATATTTAGACTAGAAAAAGACGTGCGACGGTTGCGTTTACAAAATGCAAATATATTGTGCTAATTTAAAACAGTTACATCGCACAGATTTGGAATAATAACACCACTAGCGGGTCTCTCTAACGGTCGACGGATTTCATTACGTCGTAGCTCTCTCGTACATCCGCGTCTTTGGCATATAATTCCATGTCGCTGTGGCAACTGTACACTTGCTCTCGTACACTTGTATCTCAACGATTTTGTTCGCTCACGGATTACTACTACTACCAATCATCATCATGTCTGACGCCGCTGCTACTGCACCAGCTGCCGCCACACCAGCCAAGGCTGCCAAGAAGAAGGCAGCAGCCAGCAAACCAAAATCGCCGGCTGCTCATCCGCAGTACAAAGCAATGATTGCTGCCGCAGTTAATGCTCTGAAGGAACGTGGGGGGTCTTCTCGTCAGGCCATTCTGAAGTACATCATCGCCAACTACAAGGTTGGAAACAACCCCACTGCCATCAACGCTCGTCTCAAGGCTGCCCTGAAGGCTGGAGTGAAAGCCGGCAATTTGAAACAGTCCAAGGGAACCGGTGCCGCTGGATCCTTCAGGTTGGGAGAGAAATCTGAAAAGAAACCCAAGGCTAAAAAGGAAGCTAAAGCCAAATCACCAAAGAAAGCCGCCAAGCCGAAGAAGGCTGGAGAAGCAAAGAAGCCTAAAGCCGCAAAGAAGACTGTTAAGAAAGCTGCAGCTGCAAAGAAGCCAAAGTCTCCAAAGAAGGCAGCCGCAGCCAAGCCCAAGAAAGCTAAGACTCCAAAGAAGCCAGCAGCAGCAAAGCCTAAAGCTGCCAAGCCCAAGGTTGCCAAGAAGCCTGCAGCCAAGAAAGCCAAAACACCAAAGAAAGCAGCCGCCAAGTAAATCATCTTTTGTGGTCCAGCACCCTTCAATAGGTCCTTTTCAGGACCACCCCAAAATACCAGAAGACTGATCTGTTGCTGAAATATAACCAAAACATCTTGTCTTACTTCTTTTTTTTTTTTAACTATACCGATTTCTGTAATGGCACACCGTTATTACAAGGACGAACTCAAGCAGTGGTTCTCGCATCTTTTTTTATAGAGTTAACGCGATCCGAAACATTATAAATAGGCTGAATGTGAACGAAACCGTTAAAAATAGACTTGTTTTGAATTCCGCTAACCATTCTCGACAGGGCGCGAAGTTCATCCCCGTCCCTTAAAAAAAAAAAAACAGGACACGTTCAAAGCTTACCACTCCCTTGGGACACTGCAAAAAACCATTCGCGACCTATGGATTAGGAACCCACGAATGTAATTAGATTTTCAAGATGGAAATAATTATCATCATCAACAGCGCTTCATTACAAACACTGTATTATACTATGTTACATCTCGATGACAGTCTAACCATTGCTATTTCTAGCTGTATGTAACTTTAGCAGTAATATTGTTCTTCTTCTTCGCGTTCACCAGCTGTACACTCTGGCGTAAAGTTCTGGTTGTTCGTCCACTTCTGGACTGCAGTCCTGCTCCAGAACCTGAGTGCTGCGTGTGCATCCGTTTATAATGCGGACACAAGTACAGTAAAGAACCATTTTCCACGCCTTTCAGACGTATTGGGTATGTAAGGCTAGATCTATTTTTTTTAAAAGACCGAACAGAACCTGGCGGGTGATGTCAGCATTGCGCCGGCCGCCTCTACTTCCCAGGGCTGCACCTGGTACCCCTCAGGGCTAGGTCGACCTGGAAGCCAAGGACATTTTTGAACAAAGTCCGAACCCACGACCTTCCGATCCGCAGGTGAGCGTCTGGCCGCTAGACCACGACGGCTCCCAATGCGGACTCAAACATTTCATAATTTGTTACCCGACATATTTCGCTTCCTACCTTTTCCCTCTCGGGGCTGCTATCTGAGGGTTTGACGCCGTAAGACAACAACATCTTAATATGGATGGCAAACCAACAGGGCTATTCCAAGATACCGTGTTCATCCCACAAAAGAATCTGTAATGGCTACATCAGCCCGGTATCTTCTTCTCCTTCTTTGCGTTCACCTGTTGTAAACTCCAGAGGAAAGTCCGGATGTTTGTCCACCTCGAGACTTAAGTCTAATTTGAGTGTTGCAGGCACATCCGTTTTACAGGTTTTGGCTATTTGTATGCAGACTTTTGGTTCCTTGCCTATATATCAGATGTATTCCGACTTCGAAGAATGCCCCAGTTAGTCGACTCCTACGAAATGCTTGTTGGGGAGGGAATGGTTCTATTCTTGTTTCCCCTCACAGTGGAGCCTCGGAACCAACACGGGGAACCAGCCCGGTGTTACTAACTTGCAGCCCTGAGTCTGGTAAGGACTGCATAAGCATATAAATAAACACAATACACAGATAACTGCATACTGAATCCTCTCCGCTGAAATACACAAATCACATTGTCTTCTATAATTTAGATTGCTTTATTAAAGCAGCAATGAACCATCGACACCGCGGCGTATCTTGTTATGTCTCCTTCTACGGCGATCAACTATGACGTCGCTTTTTGGCGCCACAATTTGTTTTTTGGTGCGTTCTCGTGCAACGGGGTTTCCCTGTGAGTGTTACATTTTGCGTAAAACGTGAATCTCTTTGTCATTGCTTCATCCATTTGAAGATTCAGACATCGTTTGGCTCCAATGCTGCATTTAGCCATAAACTACACTTAGGATACGGCATCAGCAAATTCTTCTTCTTCTTCGCGTTCACCGGCTGTAAACTCTGGCGGAAAGTTCTGGTTGTTCGTCCACTTCTGGACTGCAGTCCTTTTCCCGAACCTGAGTGTTGCGTGTGCATCTGTTCGACAAATCTATCACATTTGTGTGCAGACTGTTGCTTCCTTGACTTTCAAGCAGAAGCACTCCGACTTTGAAGGAAGCTCCCAATTAGTCAACTCTTACGTCATGCTTTTGGGTAGGCAGTGGGTGTCTATTCCTGTTTTTCTTATAATAGGGTCCCGGATCCTACACGGGGAGTAAGCAAATACTTATTGGTAGTTTGCCACACCCCACCCCCCCCCCCCCCCCCCCCACCTCCCTACAAATTCAAGGCTCTTTTTAATACTTTTAAATTGCAATTTGGGGGTCGTAGCGGCTAGTCACTCGCGTGTGGATCGGAAGGTCGTGGGTTCGCTCCCTGGCAGAGCCGGATGTTTTTCAAAAATGGCCTCGACTCCCAGGTCGACCCAGGCTTGAGTAGGTACCTGGTGCGGCCCCGGGAAGTAAATGCGGCTGGCGTGATGCTGACCACATCACCCATCTTGTGCCGATTAATCTATAAAAAATATAGGTCTAGCCCTATATGCCTTATACACATAAAGGCGTGGAAAAGAGATCTTTTATTTTTCTTTTTGCAATTAGCTTTTAATTGAGCCTTTAAAGGATTTATATACGTAGCATAATTTCTCTGATTTTCAGTTCCTCTTATTCCTGGTATTATTCGTTATCATTTCTTTTGACTAAAGATTAAACAACAATATATTTATATAATCCATATATTTAGAAGGCGGGCATCGGAAGGTCGTGGGTTCAAGTCCTGAGAACGCTGGACTCTTAAAAGATGACGGCTCCCACTCGACCCGGCCTTAAATGTGTACCAGGTAAAGTCATGGGAAGTAAAGACGGTCGGCGTGAAGCTGACCACATCTCCCACCATGTGCCGATTGGTCTTTAAAATGTATGTCTGGTCCTATATGCCCAATACACCTAAAGGGGTGGGGAAAAGTCCCCCACTATCTTTTGTAGTTTTCTTAGATTAACTGGTATAATTTAAAATAGTAGCGGCCTCAAGTCTAAATTCTAACCTCTATCTCTTTCTTTCTCCTGTGTGTGTCTGTGTGGGTTTATGTTTGTAACTGTATGTATGAGTACGTGTAAATGTGTGTATCTATGTGTGTGTGCATGTTCGTATGTATGTGGATGTATGTGTGTATTAGGTGCCTATGTGTGTGTGTTTGTAAGTGAGTGAATGGGTTTTCGTGTGTATGTGGGTGTGTGCATTGGCGCGCGAGCGTGCGCACATATTTTACCACCCATGCTTTTGTTTTTGACTCGATATTCATAATATGCTTGTTAATACATGAACATAACATGCTTTATTGATGAAATAAAACTGCTGTGTGAAAGATGGGAGTTTGGAAGGGCAGAATGTAAGACAGGCCTGCTTGCTTAATTTGTAACCCCTTGAAAATAAAGTTCGTTCGTTCGTTCCTCCCCCTCCCCCTCCTCTCTCTCTCTCTTTCTCATCTCTCTCAGTCTCTCTCTCTCTCTCTCTCTCTCTCTCTCTCTCTCTCTCTCTCTCTCTCTCCTTGCGGCTAAAGGTGGCATGGGGAAAGGCTATTTAGATGTGTATTGCATTACTCGTGGGAACACACATGGTGGATGATGAGTCCCTTGGCATTTTTTTTGCGGCCCAATCTGTCTCTGATCTTTAAAGCATCAAAGACAGTCTTAAAACAGTTTACAAAGTTGAACTGGAGAGAAGACTATAACGGTTACTGACAAAAGCATGTTTTCTTCTTCTTCTGCCTTTCTATCCACCAATGGAGCATAGGTCCTCAACCAACTCACGCCAAGTCGTTCTATCCTTCGTCATTGCACGGAGCTCTCCCCATGTCCTCCCAATCTTTCTAATCTCATTTCTCCAGCTCTCTTCTCCGTGTGTTTTTTGGCCTTCCTTTATTCCTATGCCCCTGTGGGTTCCAATGCAAAGACATTCTAGTCATGTTGTTCTCCTGTTTTCTCAGTGTGTGCCCTATCCAACGCCAGCGTCTTTTCCTCACCTCCTGATTCACTGGAGCCTGTTTAGTTCTCTCCCAAAGTTCTACATTAGTTATTCTATCATACCATTTAATTCCTTCTATTCTGCACAGGCACCAGTTAATAAATGTCTGTAATTTATAAGTAATTGCCTTAGTTGTTCTCCATGTTTCCCCCCAAACAAAAGTACTGATTTGACATTAGAATTAAAAACTTTTAGTTTAGTATTTCTTTTAATTTCTTTTGACCTCCACAAATTCCCTAGTGCTATGAAAGTCCCTCTTGCCTTTTGTATTCTTTTTTTTAATATCTCTATCAGTTCTCCATCTTTATCTACATTACTGCCTAAATAGGTGTACGACTCCACGTCTTGGAGTGGGGTGACATTAAGAGAAACCACATTACTATTTGCCTGATTTATTCTCATTATCTTTGTCTTTCCTTTATGGATTTTCAGACCAAGCTGCTGTGATCTCGCATTAAGTATATTTAATTTATCTTGCATCTGATTCCGTGAATGGGATAGAAGAGCAATATCATCAGCGAAGTCCAGATCATCAAGCTGTTTTGTAGGGGTCCACTGAATTCCATTCTTGGTGTTAGCAGTTACTGTTTTCATAGTCCAGTCTATAGCCAGTAAAAATAAGAAAGGCGACAAAAGACATCCCTGTCGCACACCTGTTTTATTTCAAATGCATCTGTTAGCTTTCCCTCATGAAGAACTCGACATTTCATGTCTTTATATGTTGCCTTTACTAAGTTGATAATTTTCTGTGGGATTCCATAGTGCCCCATCAATTTCCAGAGAGATTCCCTATTAATGCTGTCAAATGCTTTTTCATAGTCTATAAATCCAATGTAAAGTGATGAGTTCAGTTCAATGCTTTGCTCTATTATAAAAAGTAATGTGGCTATCTGATCAGTACAGGATCTGTTTGACCGAAAACCTGCCAGCTCATCTCTTAGCATTTTATCAATAGTATCTTTTAATCTTTCCAAAATAATTCTACTTAATATTTTTCCAGGAACTGACAGCAACATAATTCCTCTATAGTTTTCACACTCCCGTAGATCACCTTAAACGCATGTTTTAAGGCGTGGAAAGAAAGA